CGAAAGGACTCCTTCTTCAGCTTGACGGCATCCCTTACTTCCGGTGTCCACCACCGGGTTCGGGGATTGCCACCACGACAGGCACCGGAGACCTTACGGCCACAGCTTCGAATGGCCGCATCGACAATGGAGGTGGAGAATATGGTCCACTCGGACTCAGTATCTCCAGCCTCCCCTGGGATCTGGTCAAAGCTCTGCCGGAGGCGGGAGTTGAAGATCTCTCTGACAGGGGATTCTGCTAAACGTTCCCAACAGACCCTCACAATACGTTTGGGTCTGCCGAGTCTGTCCAGCTTCCTCGCCCGCCATCGGATCCAGCTCACCACCAGGTGGTGATCAGTTGACAGCTCCGCCCTCTCTTCACTCGAGTGTCCAAGACATACGGCTGGAGGTCAGATGAAACAACCACAAAGTCGATCATCGACCTCCGGCCTAGGGTGTCCTGGTTCCATGTGCACTGATGGACACCCTTATGCTTGAACATGGTGTTCATTATGGACAAACTGTGACTAGCACAGCAGTCCAATAACAAAACACCACTCGGGTTCAGATCGGGGGGGCCGTTCCTCCCAATCATGCCCCTCCAGGTGTCACTGTCGCTGCCCACGTGGGCGTTGAAGTCCCCCAGTAGAACAACGGAGTCCCCAGTCGGGGCCTTTTCCAGCACCCCTCCCAGGGACTCCAAGAAGGCCGGGTACTCTACACTGCCATTCAGCCCATAGGCACAAATGGCAGTGAGAGACCTATCCCCGACCTGAAGGCGCAGGGAAACGACCCTCGTTCACCGGGGTAAACTCCAACACATGGACCTCATAGTGTTACAGAGAAAACCCAACAAACCCCCTTGAGCAGCACTTGGCAACAGTGAGGAGGACAAACTCCATTTAAGAGAGGAAACTCAACACATTTGAGGCTGTGAAGTGCAGGAAAAATGACGTTTGTCTGCACATCGTTCTGCTGCTGGCTGGGTTTTGGGTCAGGACAGAATTCTAGTCTATATCTGCTTTGACTGTTTTTCTGACTGCACTCAGCTCAGATCTGCAAAGGATCATGCTTCACCACCAGGGGCCCACAGACTGATTGTGTGTGTCAAGGGCTGAGTCTGCCATTTCTTCTGTTGATTAATGAATTAATCATTTGGTCTGTTGAATGTCAGATTACAGGGCCGTGTTCCCTCAGAGTTTCTTAGAGCAGATGTCATTGGTCTCTTCATAAGCAGGGTAATAAAAAACAAATTAAAAGTTGATATTATAATAATCTTACAAAAATGTTATCATAAAGGTTATTACATTGTGTGCCATTTATTACATTAAGTATTTTGTTAATCCTGACTTAACTTTATTTAACCCTTAACTGGGTTTTGTATCTTAGAGGATACTAGCATGTGATTGGGTCTAGGGGTGTTACAGGAAGTTTAGTTACTTAAATCAAAATGAAACACTTAAGTCAAATTATTTTGGTCAGTTGAGCTGATGTGCAAACTCTGGGATGGATTTATAATCCTGCTCAAAAGTCAAGATGGCCGCTCACAGAGGGACAATCCCAGATCCTAAGGTAAGTGCTAATATTATTTACATATTTAATACATTTTCAAGTGATTATTTATGTGGAATGAAGTGTTAATGTTGACAAAAATCATAATTTAAATGATTGTTTTCATGTCTGTCTCCTGCGGGTTAAAATGGGTCAACACAACATTCAGACCTGCCTCCAGGAGTGCACACTGTCACTTCTCTAACATCTTTCACACAATGTAAACAACTGTAAGTCCTGTTGGAGCTACCGTTTGGCATTTTGCTTGAAAAGGCATAAAACAGTTGAATGTTTGGTGAGAACTTGTTGTGTTGTTGACCTGTGACTCGGCAGCACGGTGCCGTACCTTCAGCAGCTCCATTCAGCCCTCAGTGTGCTGTCTGAATGTGGCCGCTGGCCTCTTTCTCTCATCTTCAGACATTGAGTCGTGCATGTTGGGTTTGGACAGTTTTCCATGGATACATGTTGAACCATAAAGACTTCGGCTGTGTCTTCTTGTTCTCTGCATCAGGACCCCACTGTACCAACAAGCTGGTTTCCCTAAAGTGAAGGAGGAAGCCACACGTTCTGGCAGAGACCAAGTGTGTATGATACTTGCATCACAAACATGCAACACAGAGACCTACAGCACTGGTCAGAACAGCTGTGTACGTCTCAACTCTAATTGCTTTCCTCCACAGATGTGAACATACACAAAAGCTGCATTTTAGATGACAACAGTTTGTCGTTGCCTTCTGTGACTTGACTCAGTGGGCAAAGTTAATTATAGTTCCATCACACAGACTCCGGCGCAGCCTGGAAGCCTGGAGTGGTTTAGTCTTCACCCACCAGGCGGCTGTGCACTTCCTCAGAGTTAAAGCCGTATGACTGCTGGTATCGCCACAAGTCATACAACAGTTATTAGAAAAGTTAAGCCAACGGGAGGACGTGTGCTTGTGAGCCAACTTTGAAACATACAAAGTATCATCACCCTGTATGTCCTGTCTAACTCCTGCCATGTTCATTAAGCTTTCACACTCGTTTTTGCTTTATGTTTGAGCTGTTAAAGGTCAGCGGTGAAGGTGACAGGAGGAGAGAGCCTGCCACGCTGCTCCGACAACGTCGTCCACCTCATCACCTGGCGGCCCCATCTGAGAGTCACTGAGCTACAGAGGCAGGGTGGTGACGGGGAGTTTCCTGTGTGGAGAAGCTGCCAGTGGAAACTAAGACTGTGGGCATCCCGGCAGGTGAATGTGGAGCTTTAAAGGGCTTTCAGATAGGATGCGGTATGTGCTGCACTTGCCATGGGGTTTGGGCGCAGCACAGGGGAGGAAGGTGCACAAGCGCAAGTCATGCACAAGTTGGGCGCAAGTTGCTAGGTGACCAAAATCTTTCCAGGAGGTGGTTAGGGGATATTAACTAGTTGTATTGATGAGGAGGAGGAGATGAGCTGCAGTAAAGAAGAGGGTGGGGGTCTGCCAAAATCAGCTGCTCCTCCATTTTCTTTGTGGTCTGTCTGGTTCTCTGCAGTTGGACACGTCATGGTGTCGTAACAGAGCCCGTGTGTTTTTTGACTTCAGGGCAGATATATTTCCTGTAGAAATGAATGGACAGCTCGGTGGTTAACAACACTCTCTGTCGAGGCATGATAGATTGTTTTGTGAGTGTGATTTTAGGTCCTTGAGCAATCATTAACCAATACCAGAAGCCAGTAAAAGTTCCAAATGTCGTCTTGTACAGCAGGTGGATAGCACCACTCACTGTGGTACAGGTCAGGGTTCAGTTCCCTGTGAGGGCGCATCCAGCTGTGGGTCCTTCGGCAAGGCCCTTAATGCTATCTGTCGCTCAGCGGATAACACTAAGGGCCTTGCTGAAGGACCCACGACTGGCCACGAACCCCAACCTGCTGTACCACACTCAGTGGTGTCAACCAGTTCGCCATCCACCTGCTATACAGGAACATTTTTGGAACTTTTACTGACTTCTTGGCATCAGTTAATGAGATTGCGCAAGGATCAAAATCACAAAACAACCTATGAAGTCTTGACAGGGAACTGAACCTCAACCTGCCATACCACAGTCAGTGGTGTTAACCACCGAGCTGTCCACCTGCTGTACAGGAACACATTTAGAACTTTCACTGGCTTCTGGTATTGGTAGACTGGCTTAGCAAGGAAAAGAGGGTGCTTGGTTTGATGCAAGGCACAACTTAATTTAAGAGTACTGAGGTTTTAGTGTGAATCCCACCTGAATCTGATTGGACACTGACAGTCCAATCACAGAGCAGAGTCATATTGTCCAATCAGGTGGTAGCTGGATTCTTCAAGTTAGTCTCCTGGGTGTGTTTCTGTAAGTTTGATTGTAGTGGAGAAGCAATATGGATGACAGTGTGAGACGTTCTGCTACTCAGGTGGGTCACATCAGAAAATTGTAGAAAATCACAGTAAACCTTTCGTGTGTCGCGTTCTGTATGTAGGCAGCGCGAAGGTGTTTTGCTGTTAACACAGTTGTCTAAATTTGTTTTCTATTCCAGGTGGGATACTTTTATCTAGCGTTAGCCAAATGCTAATGTAGGATGTTAGCCACCCAATACTTTCTTGCTTTGCTTGAGCCTGTCAGTTGTCAGGCTAATTGTGAAACCTCGTAGAGTTGACTTGTAACTTATTCCATGTTGGATGTGTAGTCTTTTGGATTAATGAACTTCTCTAGTTTTACATGCCCCATTAATGTAAATCGTCACTGGCCGGTTTGGATCAAACCGGGTCTTCATCAGCACGGAAACTTAACAAATTGTTTGCACCTGTATGTTTCCGCCCTGATGAAGACCAGGTGAGGTCCGAACCGGTCGGCGTCTTTTTACCGAGATGCCCCGTTACAGGTAAGAGTGCTACATTTAAAATGTTACTTAAATAATAGTGCAAAGGCATTAGCAGCGAAATGTACCTAAAATTACCAAAAGTAAATAAGTAAATGTGCAGAATCATAATAGAATACATTTCACGTTGATGTATATTTGATTATAATTTCTGGTGCATTATTGTTCATTTTAATGTTGTAGCTGGTAAAGGTAGGGATAA